ACGTGAATATTATTTATTTGTGATTAAATTGTAGTTTTGTTCGTAGTTATATTTATACACAAAAACGTTATTAAACGGATCGCAAGTGTTACTAGAAACTCAAAAAATCAACTTTTTTGAAATGTTTTTCATGTATTTTTTTGGCGTTTAGCACTCTTTTTCTGCGAACCATATTTTTCTCAAACACGGTACTCTAAAAAAACTCATTTGTATAATTATATACTTATTGGTATTTATAAAACATTTTCTAGGTTATATTATTTTTTATTTATGTTATTCAAATTCAGAACCTAAATTTCATATCGATCAAAGGGACATTTTGTCGAATAACATTTTCCCAGTTATAATTTCCCATAATTTATCGAAAAATAAATATTAATATATGAAGGTCCGGGGTTAAAAGATGTGTCAAAAACCAGTAAACTTAAGCATTGCTTAACAACAATATTCAAAAGTAGAGGGAGAAAGATGTATAACTAGCTATAACCTTGATTTTCATGACTTTGCTATCGGGAGATAAACGGTAATCTTTGAAAATCCATAATAAAAGTATTTTTTTCCGTTGGTAATTTTTTAGCATCAGTTAAAATTAAAATAAGACTTTAAACCTGTTTGCCACCTGGCCGTTCTAAGTTTCCCCGTCTATGGGGTAAAAATGTCTAGATAATAAATTTTTGAAAGACATCGAAAAAGCACATTTCCACAATGATGAAGTAGTTGGCAGTTTTACTGAACGTAGTCAAATAATTGTTCGTTTGAAATGTGTTATTTGATGTGATATAATTGGTTTGGTTTTTAAAATATAATTTATATTTTCTCAAAGTCAAATTGGACTTTTGTGTCCTGCTCTGCTCTACATATATTCTTTTTATTAAATTTACTTTCATTCATCGAATGTTACTTGAATCTTTTCAAAAAGCAGGTCAAAGAAGAAATACTTAATTCATTTTCTATCCCTCCTTGCAAAAATTTGCATAAGCTCAGTAGTATTATTCACAATTATACACAAAATCCAGAATCCAAAAAGAATCTGAAAAACTTGAGACGTAATCAATGAGTCGAAAGACCAAAAAAGACTTAGATTGGATTATACCATGTTTTCTACAGAAAGTGTATAAAACTTCCAGTTTGATTGTATTGACAAAATATAGGCAAACTAATGGGGTTTATTGTTTTTATAATACCTCATTGTATATAGCATTCAAACAACACATTCTTATACACTTAAAGTATTAATATTTTTGTTTCTTGAAATTGTTTAGAATATACCTTATTATTTAGCAAAACAACGTTTGCCGGGTCAGCTAGTATCTTTATAAAATAGACAGCATGTAATTGATATACAAATGAAAAGAAGCTTTCCGCACAGAACAGTCAGTGAATGCGTTGAAGATTTTCTTTTTATATATATTTTGTTTCTTAAATGTCGCGGAAATTTCTTTCGGGGCAATGAAATGTGATGTGACATTGAACCCGGCCAATAATAATTTGTAACAACGGAAGCCGCCAGTTCAGACCTGACGGACCGTGGAGGATAATGACTACACACTAGCAATCGTATGTCTTGGGAAATGAAAGTGAATTGACAAAGGTTCTATCATCGCCAAAATACATTTTCACTATATCTAAATTGTAACTACTTTCCATTTCCCTTCACTTGTTTGCCAAACTTATTGTTAAAAATGTTAATTCACTTATCCTACTATATCACATTCGCACAATAAAACTTATATAAAAGGTTACAAACTTTGCGGAATAGAATTATTTGTGAATTTGTTCTGTAAGATGTTACAATTGAAATAAATTATTTCTAGTCAGTATATAATATATTATATATTTATATACATTGAATAATTTTATTTATATATATATATATATATATATATGTATTTTTAATTACCTACCATTTTTAGAAGTATGAAATTATTAAAGTTTTGTATTTTAATTTTTTTTATTTACAGATTATAACAATAGTGTGTGAAAAGTGCGAAAAACAACTTAATGCGAACGAGTTACTTAAATTACTGCAATTAAAAATTAATTCTACTTAATCATCAGTTAGTGTGTCTTTAATAATGTAAGTGTGATACAACTGAGTTTTTCGGTATACGTATATGTGATTGTTTGAAAAAAACTTCAACATCTTTCAAAATTTAAAAAAAGCAATTACACAAAACACGCAAAATAGTTCCCTAATAGTCGCTTCCGAAGAAGCATTAAAGTTAGTGATAAATTGTTAAGTAATAATACTATTAATTAAAAAACTAGCTTCTGGAACTTTGTCTTAAGTTGCATGAATTGTCCTATGCAATAAAAATTGAGATTTAACTATTTAGATGAAATTTTCACCTATTTATTTCAAAAATAAAATTTTTGCTTTCACTAAAAACTAATCAGTGCCTGTCCCAATTCACATATTCCAAGCAAACTTATAAATTATAAGGTTTATAATTTATAATTTATAAGTTTAAGTAATTATAAGGGTTATAATTTATGAGTTTTCGTGCGGTTTGTGCACTATAATTAATTCAATTACATATATTATAACTTATAATTAAATAATACGAGAGTGTTTACCGCAGGATTGTCGCTGCTGTACGGAACAGCGCGTCCATTAGTGGTGCTATTGAAAATACCGGGCCAGGCACAGTGATATATTTTAAGATATTTCTATCATTACCAAAAAAAATGTTTTAAAAAAATAAAAACTGCGCTTCTAATAAACTAAAGATTACAATGAAAATTAGAATTACCAATAGTTTAACTCATAGTGATAAATCATGAAGCAAAGTACGGCACAGAACAAGTCGTTCATGGACGACATTCATACACATAGCACGCCATGCGGATGTCGTCCATGAACGACATTCGTAGCAGCTCATTGGGTTCGTTAAAGTTCTATCGTCATACAATGTTGTATAAAATCATTAAAAATAAAATTTTAACAATTAATTTTTAAAAAAATCGGCCCTGCCGATCTTTACCAAAAACTAATAACCACAATTCCCAACTTATCTTTCGTGCAGTTCTAAATTATATAGTGGGAAGTCCCCTAATGGCGGACACCTAAGATTATTTATAAATAAATCAAAAAATATTTCACGAAATGTTTATTAAATTATGTCTTATGTTAGATAACAAAGTTGGAAATCAAAATAAATTAACAAAAACGCAGCTTTTGCTAAAAAATAATAAATACTATCAATCAAACTTTGGTAACAAAAAGTATGATTTTAAGAAGTCGCACCTAGTACCGGACAATTGAAAATCATCACTCTGGAATGTCTGCACATGTGTGTGACAAATATTCTTAGATATTGCAAAAAAGTCACTATTCATCCATATCACATTCATGCACCCTTTTGGCTGGGCCACGCCAATGCTCTCAATTGGAGCATTCGTCATAAGCTTTCCATTCTTTGACTAGGAAATACGAAAAATGGAGGTGACCGTTAGCACTCATAGAACAAAATTAAGTAATTAGAATAAATTACGTAAATTCTCACAATAAGTTTACTGTCCGGCGCTAAGGAACGACTCAATGTCCGGTGCTAAGGGACATACATTTTCGTTCATTTGGTGGTACCTGCTAAAATTGTTTAAAAGATCTAATAATATTCTACCATGTTAATAAAAACAATCAAGTACTACTTTTATCTTTGAATACCACTCAAATGTAAATGCAAAAATATACTAGAATTACTTCAATTGATATTTAGGTGACGCCGTGATTTTGCGCCTAAAACAGCAAACGGCGTATGATTCTGTACCTCTGGGCCACTCGCGCCCCTTTCACTAGTATTTCAAAATGAAAAGATTTATACTTGCTTAAATAATACGTGTTAAAGAGAGTGTCCGGCACTAGGAATCGTCCGGCGTTACGGGACTTCCCCATAGTACTACCAGTTTTGAGACAGTATTTTCAACAAAAAATTAGAAACAATAGTAGCGTACGAAACAATTTGCAAAGTTACTCCTTATTATCGCGTTTCAATAAATGGATTTTAATTTTTTTGAGAAAATGCCGAATTTTGAAATGAAATGAAATTAGGAAGCTGGGTTTTCTACCGAAACAAATTTTCATTCGGAATGTTAATAATAAAACTATGAAAACTATTGAAAATGTGCAATATAGAATTTGTTTTTCTATGAAAATTAGCTTGAAAAGTCATCTTAAGCCACGAAGTAAATTCGTTTCTCAATAGCAATATATAAAATCTTTTATTATCATGCATTCAGGATATACATAAATACTTTTACCTATTTAATACTGTTGAAGAGTTGGAAAGCGGATCCTGAATACATAAATCTATTTTATTGTGTTCGAGTAGGTTTATAACCTCTATAGCGGTTTAAATTCGATTAAAGAACGCAGTAAAATATGCGATATTATTATTAAACATAAGCATGTACTTCGACTTCGACCACACAACAATGTATAATACGTACTTCCAAGAAGGCCGGATGTGCGGTACTCTTACTTCTCATTACTCGAGACGAAAAGTGAGAGTTCGCGCCGTGCGATAATTCAATGAAAAAATCGGATCGAAACAAATCGCTAATTTTCTCTTATTCTTACACGCACACACACACATGGTAGTACTTCACGATGTTTGAAAATCCATAACAGAAGTATTTTCTTTCGTTGTTAGTCACTTTGTTGTGAGCACCGTTCTTTAATTTACTAGAACTTAATATAACTTTTACGTATACGTTATTTAATTATTTTAAAAAATGTATTGTAAATTTTTGGACAGATTTAACAGTTTTTTTTATCAAACCTCTATAAAAACTTAGACGAGAATGGAGTAAAAAGAACCAACTAAACCTTTACATAGTTATTCCAACTCTGCTGATGAATATTTCTGAAATACCTGATCAAGGTTATCTTTGTAAAAAATGTACCCACAAAATTTATGCTCACAACCAAAAAAACTAATAACGAAAAAGAATACTTTTGTTATAATCTTTCAAACATTTCCGTTCATCTCCTGATAGCGATGTCGTACGCGTCAAGGTGATGGCTTGTTGCCCTTTACTTTCAAATATTGTTGTTAGAATTTTTCTTACTTTACTTGTTTTTGAGGTATCGGTAGTAGGATCTATTTACCTCAGTTAGTTTTTGTGAAAAAACACCTCCTCTTTGATTTAAAAAAAATATTTATGGAGATATAAATATTTCATATTGTTATACTCACAACAGTAAGCATTCATTGTTCCAGAAGTTTTCAGCTATATTTTTTAATACGTTCAATTTCTTTAATGTTAGTGTGTATTTAATTTTGAAACATTGGTTCCAATAATTCAAAGTTTCTGATCACGTTCAAAATTCCTAACATCGTATATCCCTGAAACGTAAATATTTATAATTAAAAAAATTAATAAATAAGTCTTTGAAGTTCAAAATATTAAGATCATATATAATATCAGCTATCTATCAACGTTGATACATATCAAAAGTATTTTGCAGCCCAATCGTCAAATTAAAAGGAAGTTAGAATTAAAAAAATCATTATTGAACGTTTCGACACTTAATGTGTGTCACCATTCAGTAATCAAACCGAAAAAAAACAAAAACATACAATTTATTAAAAACACTAAAATTGTGCTGAAAAACACAATTACATAACTAATAGATAATTAATAAAAAAAATACAAGAGCACATAAAGCCCCAATATAAAGCATGTTCACTTAACGATGGCGACGTACAGAGTTAAAAATTGGGCTGCAAAATACTTCAAATATATATATAATATATATATATATATATATATATATATATATATATGTATATATCGTACAGTCATTGCATAGTATTATATATTTTCCTTCAGACTGTCATTAAAAGTTCAGATTTATATAAAGCTCAAATAAAAAACAAATTTGCAAACGTGCAAAATTGAATAAACGTAAAATATCACGGAATTATTAGATTTGAAGCAGCAATCAATTTTATACATTTCAAGAATCTATATTTTATATTGTCCCGAGATTTACATAATGAAGAAGTTATCACATGTATTGAGCATTTATAATTAATGTAAATGAAATTCATTAATGAAATGAAAAGCCGTATCTTAGATCGCATAAAAATAACGCCATTTGACAACGTAGCATACTTTTGCACACAAATTAAAAACCATATTGTGAGAACACACACCGGAACTAAAAAATGTTGGCCGTTACTGAGATGAATAATAACCCAAAGGAAAAAAAAGCGAAGAAACTTCTTAAGATAATTAATTACTTATTCTACGTATGAAAACTAAACTAAATTCTTTATTTTTCAGATATACTTGTTTATTTAAATTGTATACATGTCCATTGATAATTATTACGTGATTGGATTTGTAAATGATCATCAAATGTTTAGCTTGTCCAGAATAAGTTATGATCAATACTCTATTTCAGGTACATCAGTCATTTGGAAATAAATGTTGTTTTCACTTATCTATCTGTGTACATATATACAAAAGTTGTACATGCCCATGTCGATGATGGTCAATCCTTAGGCCAATGTTTGCGAAACAAGAATGGAGGTCGTATTACCGAAAGCGTCATGACGTGTGCGGGGTACAAAGCTCTCCACGTGCTTCAACTGTGGGAAGATTCAGATAATTTTTCAGTAATAGATGGACTGAAAATGAAACTGGAAAGTAGAGAGTCCAGATCACTCGAGAACTTTCTGGATAAAGATCCAATGGACTTTAGGTAAGACTTGAAATGTCATTCAATCACTATCATTCAATTGAAATTTAATATTAAATTTAATTATTCAATTGAAATTTAATATTAATATTAATTATTAAATGTAAACTTATAAGGCAAAAATTAAGCAGTCATTGCAAGCAAACAGATAAACATTGGTACGGGACCCATAGAAATGTAAACAAAATTTGTACTTACTATCAAATTCTCCATAAAATATTTGATAATTTGATGTGTGTATGACTAATCACCAGTTTTATTCGCCAAATGATTTTTTTTTTACTTTTCTCTGAGGATCTCCGAAACCGCTGGATCTGCCTTCCTAAAAATTGCAAGCACAATGTTGTTTGATTCATTCAGATCGGACGCTTCATTCTCTAGCTACAATGTTTGGCACTTTTTGCCCCGTATCTTCGAAACGATAGGACCTGCCTTAATCAAAAACTAATCAGCACGCCTATTCATCAAAAGCAATTTAATGTTTATTGAATAAATCAAATCGGTTGATCCGTGTTCTCCAAAACGTCGACAAAAAATTGTATCACGTCGACGTAAAAATTGTATCCGCACATACATACACAATTACATCAATTTTTTCTAAAGTATGCTAAAATGTTCAGAAGACTTTGAAACGTAAAAAACTTACCCTACGGGAAAGTCGCGGCTATTTTATATAAGTCTTTCAGGCTCTTTGTCGTCGATGACTTTTTTATTTAAATACCCAAAAGTTATGCAAAAGTTCGTCCATTGTTCAAAATAAAACTTTTCTTCTTGAGATATGACATCTGAATTCAGCCGATTGTGGTTAAGTGTAATAAGATAAAAAACTTTCCATTATAAAAAAGCTTTTATATTAATTTATTTTTATGAAAATAACAGAATAAGTCCTATAAGAGTAGGAGTATTTACAAAATTAAAAAGACAAAAACGATAAGAATAATGTAGCATAATACATTCGATATAATTACAACTACAAGTATAATTAGAAACACGTACAATATATATTTATATTTATATATTAGATGGTAGAGTCTTGGATTTGTAAATATTTGGTAAAATGTTTTGTGTTGAACAAAAAAAATTGAAAAAAAAGTTTTTTAATAAACCATTTTTTTATCTATTTACGTCCCATCTTCTGGACATCTGTCAAAATCTTGATAATATTTAAACAAACAATATTTTAAAGTAAAAAACTGTGGATTTTTATAAAATAAATGAAATTGTGGAAGAGATAACATTATAAAAAATATGACACATATTATCATAGGGCTCGCCCGTAGGTAAGCGGTTAAGAGCGACGGGACTTGTTTCAGAGGTTCCGGGTTCGATACCCACTTCGAGCAGCCTGTTGTCAGGCAGCAATGACAACGATTTTCACTTGGAAATATAGATAGCAATATGTTTCCAAGTGAAAATAGCCCTTGCCCGGCATTGCTGCACCAATAAAAAAGTGAGCCCTATTAGATTAATTCTAATACAAAAATCATCAAATATGGAAGGTAACCATTGGGTTACCATCTAAAAATACGAAGTAAGGAGAAGTTTTAGCCCATCAGCTCATAGGACGTAAGGTTCTGATTGCTGTAAAAATAATAATAAAAAAAAACATATCATCATCAAAATGAAAATAATAAAATAAATGTGAATTATATAACAAAATATTAGAAGTATTAGAAAATTAAAAAGTATTTAAAAAATGTTAAGAACAGAATTTTATTCAAATCATAAAAATCCACAATTTTCTATTTTTCTTAAATATATTGTTAGTTAAAATATTATCAAGATTAAGTTTCTGAAGATGGAACGTAATTTGCTCTGTCGACAGTAAATAATTAAAGAAATGTTTTTAAAAAACTTTTGTTGTTTATTACTTTTTCGAATCTTTGTTCGAATCTCGACATATATATATTTTCGAATTTCTTTGCTCCCAAGGGCTTCCTAATTAATAAAAAATAAATCTCTAATAGTTTTAGCTATTAATATTTAGATAGTGCGCACTTCAATTAAAAGTTTCATATATTTATTATCAACATATGTCATTAAGTAAATTCTTGCGCCACTTATGATAGCATTTGTAAACTCTAATTATATGACACCTAAAATATTTGTAATTCACTTAACCCAAAATTAAATTAACGAAATATTTATTTATTATGACATCAAAATTAATTTTGCAGCAAAATATTTATTTAATTGGTGCTGTAGACACTCAAATTATAAGTAATAAATTGCCATCAAAACTACAAGTGCTAAAAGTCTGCTATCACAGATGGCGGAAGAATTTACTTACGACATATGTTAATAATGAATATATGAAACTTTTAATTGAAGTGCGGGCTATCTAAATGTTAATATCAAGAACTAAAACTATTAAAGATTTATTTTTTATTAATTTGAAAGCATTTGAGCCTTTGGGAGCAAAACTGTTGCAAGCAGAAACTAGTTGGTATTGGTATTTTGCCTTGAGTCAAGTTACATGAAGTTCCCGATTTGTGTAAATAATCGACTTAATCCATGATAGATAAATTAATTTATGCGTAGTTAAAAGTATTCAAAGTGGATTTATTACACATTATTAAAAATCGAAAACGTCAACCCGGTCGGAATATTTTTTAAAAGCAAATTTTCAAAAATCTATAATTTTTATAATTGAGCCAGGTTTTTGTAGGACTTTAATCGTTTAGCATGTTTATTAAGACCAAGTTCTCTATCGTTATACCAAGTAAATCGTCTCATTTTAATTTCAACAAATGTCAAAAAAATTACTCATTTTCTCAAACTTTGATGAATTTTTAAAATTAAACTACTTGTCGTAAGGCCGTAATATTTCAGTAAGTTCTATAAGACCATGATATATATCGCCAAAAAGTTACAAAAAAATCGGCTTAAATTTTTTTTCAACAGTTAATTACAAGAAAACGGCTCGGTAGATTTTCACCTAAAACTAATCAGTGTCATTCTCAACTAATATCTTTCGAACAGTTTTTGATTTTTCAAAATCGATTCGGTAGTATGAGCTCAAATGTGGACGAAAAGTTTAACACTTTTTTCCAAATTACAAAGTAATGACTCGACCGATCGTCACACAAACTGAGCAACGATAGTCCTCATCGAGATACATTCAAATTTCTGAAATCGGTTCAGGCGTTTTTGAGCAAACGTCGATGAAAGTTCCAATTTTGACAAATGCCAAAAAGGCCATACTAATTTCGCAAACTTTGAAGAATTTTTAAAGCTAAACGAGTTGTCGTAGGGCCGTAATATTTTAGTATGATCTAGAAGACTATGGTATCTACCGTCGAAAAAATAATCATAAAAATCGTCGAATTTTTTTTTTAAAAAACTTTATTACAAGAAAACAGCCCGGCCAATCTCTACCAAAAACTAATCAGCACGATTCCCAACCATTATCTTTCGAACGGTTATTGAATTTTCAAAATCGATTCAGAATTGCGGGCTAAAACGCAGACGAAAAATTTTTCACTTTTCTGCGATTTATAATGAAACGGCTTGGCCGATCATCGCACAAAACTGACAAACAATAGTCCTCATCTAGATACATCGAATGGCTTTTAAATTGAGAAAACGTCGAGTTACGGCAAAAAATCTGTTCACATACACCACACACAAATACTTTTTCCAAATTTGGTCTTATTCGATTCAGAATGACTTGGAACGTCGAGAAAACATAAAATTAGCGAATCGGATTTTTTGATGAAAACAGAAACTTCTCCTTCGGGAAGTTAATGAATAATTATTAAAAATTAAATAAACAGTTAAAAAATATTCTGCTAAGTAGTTCGCAGCCGAAAAAGGCACCAGTGAATGTTATTCACAATTTAAATAAATGTTCTAAGCAAAAAATCGGTTTCACAAAAAGTACTGCCAATTTATTATTAGACCTTTTAAGTTCAACAATTTATGCTTTCTTGAAACGATCAATTGTTTTTTTACTACCATAAAAACGCAGCATCAACTACATTCCACGTAATTTTCGTTTGTTCGTGCCGAATTGATGTTTAAAATATTTCCTCGTTTGATTTTTTTGCTTTCTGACACCGACATCAATTACAGGGGTATTTTGGAAGGAGCCAACGCCATAATGAGTAAACGCAGCATGGAGTGGGACATGAGCACGATCCATCCGGGATTGATTCTCCGCATCGGGCCATCATCGAATGGACCCGGTTTGCTCGAGTTCATCATGGACGGGAACCAGGAGAGAGACAATATATACGATCGAGATTCGGAACGAGAACCCAGTACAGGTAATTGGCCTGGAATAACTTATGACATTAAAACTTATAAAAAATATTTTCGGTGAGAGCGACTATTGTGGTGTTTGTGATGTTGTGTTGGAGAAAGTGGTATAATATGATACGTCAAGGTAAGATGTTAAATGAACCCTCTGCGCTTGACCGACTTAAGGAGATTTCTTCAAACATTTTTAATTCTCCTTTTGCTCGTTACTTTTGAATCAAGTTTCTCTAAAACGATCGATAATTATCAACTGAGCGAGACGACAAATTCGATTAAATTATTGGTGATATTATGATAGCGTGACGGTACAGAAGACTTTAGGTAATATATCGCATAATAGTATTTTTTTTACTCAAAAAAATGCTCACTCTTAATAAACTTCCAGTAAAATAAGTTAAAGAAATCGCAAAAAATAACATATATCTTTACGTTTCAAAGGTTTCTCAACATTTTGGAATACCTTACAAGAAATGGGTGTATGTGTGTGTGAATGCATGTATGTGCGGATACAATTTTTAACTTCCCGAAGGTGAAGTTTATATTTTCATCAAAAAATCCGATTTGCTAATTTTGAGTTTTCTCGACGTTTCAAGCCATTCTGAATCGAATTTTTCTCAAGCCGTAAATCGACGTTTTCTCAAAAACGGGTGGGCCGATTTCAAAAATTTAAAAGCCATTTGATATATCTCAATGAGGACTATCCTTTGTCAATTTTGTGAGACGATCTACCCAGCCGTTTCTTTGTAATTTGAAAAAAGTATTAAACTTTTCGTCCACATTTAACCTCAAACTACCGAACCGATTTTAAAAAATCAAAAACTGTTCGAAAGATATTAGTTGAGAATGATACTGATTATTTTTAGGTGAAAATCTACCGACCCGTTTTCTTGTTATTAACTGTTGAAAAAAAAATTAAGTCAACTTTTATGGAACTTATAGATGGTCTTATAGAACTTACTGAAATATTACGGCCTTACGACAAGTAATTTAATTTTAAAAATTCATCAAAGTTTGAGAAAATGAGTAGTTTTTTTGACGTTTGTTAAAATTAAAATTAGGCGATTTACTAGGTATGACAATAGAGTACTTGGTCTTAATGAACATACTAAACCATTAAAGTCCTACGAAAACCGGTCCAATTATAAAAACTGTTGATTTTTAAAAATTTGCTCTTAGAAAATATTCCGAGTTAACGAGTTTATGTGTTATAAATCCACTCGGAATACTTTTAATCACTCATAAATTAATTTTTTTCAATGATTAAGTCGATTATTTACACATATCGGGAAGTTTATGTAACTTGCAGTTGTCGTGAACACTGATCAACCGATTTGAATAATTCAAATAGCATTCGATTTGTATTGATGGGGAGACGTGTTAATTGGCTTTTGTAAGGATAGGCCCAGCCGTTTCAGAGATACGGGAAAAGAAGTGCCAACAAGGGTAATTCACTTGTTTAGGGAGAATGATTCAAAAAATATTTCATTTGTAAAACTGGCAAAATAAAAAAAAAATTGCACATTTGGGAAGGCAGGTTTTGCGGTTTCGCGGATCCAAACTTTGTTCATATTTAATTTTCTAATTTTTTAATTTGCACAAACTTTGTTCACATTTTAATTTTCGATACGGGAAGTATTAAAAAATTGCCTTAAGGCTTTGAATTGCTTAAGGATCTGAACAGACATCAAATTTTGCTGATAATAATAACATAATTACAAAACATTATATTCATATAACGAAACTAAGCATTAAAATTTGTGCTAAACTAAGCATTAAAAATTATTATAGTCCATCAATTATTTTTTTTTTAATTTCATATATAATAAGATTTATATAAGTAATATGATGTAAATCAAAAATTGAAATCTGCATTGACAATCCACTGAAATCTTTATTGTGTAAGGATGACAGCAACCAGATCTTACTATATTTTGATGTGTGAAGTAGTATCCCATACCAATTAGCAATTGCCAAAATTTGAGAAAAATTGCTCCTTAATATTTCATGCAGAAAATGAATATCTTGGTCCTTTTATCCACATATGTGATGAACCAATATAATTTCCAGTAATATTTTCAAAATATCGCATCAGACATGGCATAGTGAAATATTTTTCTTAGTATAGAAAATCACAAATCTTTGATAATTGTATGTACAGTAGATACTATTGAAATAATATTTTAAATTTATTCACGCAGAACAGTTTTCTCATTTATGATATATTAGATAATATTTCACATTTGGAACTGGAATAATATTGAATCAAACTTTAGTTATAATAATAAAATAATTATAAATTAATAATTTCAAAAGACAAAATTATGCATTTCAACTGTTATGATAAAACAATAATAGAAACTAAATAGTACCACATAATCCTCAGCGCGTTTTGGACAATTTACTGCAAGTACGAGTAGCTTGTACACTATATTTTAAATAGTTTACAAATCATGCGCTTATAATAGTAAAAAAATTAATATTATCACATGACAATATCTGATCATTTTTGAATTTTTCAGCACGTGTTTTGACGAGACAGTTTATTGTACCCCTACTACTAGGCTTGAAGTTCAATCTGGCCACTTTACTGCCTTTGATTTTTGGAGTTCTCATTCTCATAAGTAAAAAGGCAATATTTATTTGCAAAATGGCCGTGGTAATATCCAGCGTATTTGGTTTTGGTGGTTTATTTTCATCGAACGGTTTCAATCAACTTGGTGGGGGACACGGTTCAGGTTTATATGGATACGATTATGGGGGACGACCTGGTTATCATCACCATCATTCAGATCACCACCATTACAAAAATTATAAACAATTTGATGAAGCAGCGGAAGCAAAAACTACTACTCCGAGACCAGTGGACAACTTTTATAAATACGAGGATCAACTTCATTTTAGAGACAGATTGGATCGATTATACAACAAAGATCAGTATACTTCCGCAAATCGGCAATTCGGCTGGCAAATGCTAACACCAAAGTAATTATAGTAACGCGTTAATAATTGATTATATATAATATGAATTGTTTTTAAACTTTGTTATGTTTTAATCTGAATGTTTTCTTACGCCAATTGTTAAAAATTTTCACTAACTTAAGATTTACAAAAATTAAATATGAGCGTCTATCAATAATATAAACTTAAATATAATAATCATTATTTGCTGAGTTCACTTTCATTCGATATGAGTGCAAACAATAGTAACTTGATAAAAATAAATTAAATTTTGCATTTGATTTTGGAATAAGTGTTGTGTAAGTGTTCAATTTTTATATTATGTATATATATATATATATATATATATATATATATTAGGGCGGGTTGATTTAAAAGTCGCTTAGGGACATATGATTTTTGAATACTAGGGATCAAAATAAGATACTTTGCTGAAGAAACCAAACCTCTAAAATGAATCCTGATGTCCCGTGCATTGAGCCAAAAATAAGGGATGAATTTTAGAGTGCCCCAGTCGCGCCCAAATATATGACCGACCACCACTACCTTTGAAAGGTCGATTTTTGTAAGGCAGAGCCATAAGGAGAGGTCCCAAGGACGTGGGTAGATCGGCCTTCCAAAGTTAGTGGGGGGTCGGTCATACATGTAGACACTATTGGGGCGCTCTAAATAAGCCAAAACAGGATTTATCAAAATTTGATCCAATCTTTGGTTCAATGCACGTGACATCAGAATTAATTTTAAAGAAATGTTTTTTTCGGCAAAGTATCTTATTTTGATCCTTAGTATTTGAAAAACATATGTGCCCTTGCAAATATATATATATATATATATATATATATATATATATATATATATATAGTATAATATAATATATAAAGTTTGATAAGAGTCAATATCAATAAGTATCTTTATATCTATTTAAAATCTAGTATTAATGAATGAATAGTAATTGAATAAATGATAAATTGGCAAGAACATATTTCTTAAATAATTATATTAAATATTTTTATAATAAAAACGTAAATCATGATTATGTATTTTTAGTTTATTTTAAATTTGACAATCTAAACCAAAACAGTGATGTGACAAATTTGTATAGAAAACTTTATTTCGCATTAAAACTCGTTAATCAAAGTATATGATGAAACTAGTAAAATGTGTGAATATAATAATATTAACTTACTAATAATAATCATCATATGTTGCCATCTAATTGTGATCGCTTAACGATTAATATATGAGGAAAGGAAACCTTAAATGAGTCATTATGCGAATTGTATAGATGATATTATATGTAATAGAGAATCTCAAAGTATAAAAAAACCGTCAGTTCTTTCAGTTTTCAAAAAAAAAAAAATATTTTAATTTTCGGTACAGGAAGTTCCAGCAATTTACCTTAAGGCGAAATACAAAGCACCACTATTTATAGTATGTAATGCGTAATGAATTTTAAATGAATTTTATATAAAAACTATTTAAGTAAAAATCCAGGGAAGGAGCGGTATTTTTGTCAGTGCCCCAGGGCGCCAAATTTCTAAATCCGACCCTGTATATATATATATATATACAGGGCCGGTCCTGGGGTCCTTAGCGCCCGCATGCAACTTTTTTCCTAGCGCCCCCCCCCCCCTATTAATTTTCACAGTTTTTACATGTTTTTTAAAAATTGATTTTTAATTATTCTGGATTTAGTACACAAAAAATTAGATATAATCTAGAAGGGTATAAAATATATTGATTTTAAATTTATTTATTATTATCGATATCAATAAATAAAATAATCCCTGTCATAATTTCACATTTTAGTAATATGCAATATGTAGTCAATTGGTTAAGGATGTAAGTTCGACTACCATAGCAAAAGAATTAATATTTTTGTTAGATTAAAGTTATAGAATTTAAGGTATGCATTTCAGAAATAGTATTTATTATTTTGATATAAAGATCTTGATATCAAAATAATAAATACTATTTCTGAAATGCATTTCTTAAATTTTATAACTTTAATTTAACAAAAATATTAAGTGAAATAAATAAATTAATTTTTAATTATACTGGATTTAGTGCACAAAAAATTAGATATAATCTGAAAGCGTATAAAATATATTGATTTTAAATTTATTTAGAAAATCGAGGCGATTCGGGGGTTGATTCAAGTATTTTGAAATTTTCAATTATTTTTAACGTATGTGCAATATTAATATTTAAAAAAAGTAGCATTAAATTTTCAAACAAAAAACTCGTATTTCATGTTGGATTTTTTAAATTTGAATTAAATTTAATTTTTCATCATTTACAATATCCAAAATTGCGTCGTAAACTTCTCCTTATTGAAATCGTAAGAGCCGTCATATTAAGAGTATCAGCTTGTTGTTCTATAGTTAAATTTTTAACGTATTTTAGAAGTATTGTTCAAAAATCAGTAAAAAATGCAAAGAAATTATACATTTCTTGAACAATATTGAAAAAAAACTTATTATATTTGATATGTATTATTTCTGTATAGTTAATAATTATTAAATTTAGAGTATGGACACCACTAGGTATAAAACAAGCCTTAAGATTTTCGTTCCAAAGTAAATTTTGCTTTCATTTTTCATATTTGTTCCACGCATGTCTTCAACATTCAAAGTTCATCAGAAGCGAAACATTTGCAAGAAAAGCAAAAGTTAGAATTCAATTTCTCGGAATAAACAAGTTATTTTCTAAGCACTGACTCCCCATTTTTTATAATTTTTTTATATTTTTAACAAGTTCCGATTCAACTAAATCAGCTCGCAATTTTTCGTCAATAATGCCCAACAATTAATTCAATCTTTCGCAGGTTTGCGCTTATGGGATTGAACACCAGATAATTTCTTTTTCGATTCCACGGTAACTTCAAACAAAGAAAAAATTGAATAAGTAGATTAAGCAATAAACAGAGCTGTTATTTACTAATTTACAGAATTATTAATCGGTTAATTGTTTCTACTGATATCACATTGCAAAATAAATATGCTTTTTGCGTCTCCGTATCCCTAGTTTAGTTAAATTATTTATTATAATTTATTAAGTATTCTAGATTTTAAATAAATAATTCTAGATTTTATATAAAAAATATAAATATTATAAATTCAATTTCCGAAACTCGTTTTGGCGCCACCTAAGGCTTGCGCCCGCCATTTTTGCATGCATTGCATGCAAGGCAGGATTGGCCCTGTATATATATATATGTATATATATATATATATATATATATATATATATATACAAAAAATACATCATTACTATAGAAATTGTTAATGAAATATCTATAAGTAATAATTTGATTATTGATTATTTTTTCATATCTTATCACCTATAATTATCAAATTTTGAACTTCTGTTTTGGCAAAATAAATTATACTAATCCTACTATTGCAGACAATAATATAGTCGAGTGCTCATATTACTACGTGCTATAGTAGAAGGATAGATAAATAGTACCATAATGAAAAACTTTATTATAATTCAATATTGAGACAATCATAAAATTTAATACAGATGGAATTATTTGCGACCACATATGTCAGTCAAGCCATCTCCTGTAATCGCTACAAAAGCAAAAGCACCTGGCGTCCCCCTCGGAATTTTAGGCGCCCGGCTTAAGAACGAATTGGTCTCAACGCCATAGGGGTCCATGAGCTCATGCTCAGCTGCTGCAATTTTTGCTGCTTCGGCTAAAGGTACCAATTCACCGGCAACCGGATAATCCAAAAAGGGTCCATGCAATTCTTGGTGGGTAAGGTAACCCATAAGACACATCATGTAATCATTTCGAATTCCTCTGAGAAAATTGCATGCTGATCTAGGAAGCGAGCAAAGGTGCTTGATCCACATGCCCGCTAGCTTTTTATCTGAAAACCGCTTTAAGAGCGAAGCAAGTGGCCTGGCCCAGTGGAGCATCATGAGGAATTGACGATCCTGCGCCTTAAAAATCCGAAAAAATACAACAATTGTATATTATTGTAAAAAGTATTTTATAGAATTTTGATATTTCTCCAATTTAATTAATTGGCATTACTAACAATAGTCATAAGTAACCCTTTCTATACGCGAGTCCTTACCGCAGGGATGACGATTCTGTACGGACAGCAATTAAAAATTAAGAATTACTCTTCTGATTATTATAACAAACTAGAATTCTCAATAATTCAACTCATAGTGATAAATATTGAAGAAAAGATTGACACATTGGATGTCGTCTATAAACGACACTCGTACACATAGTTGGCGGTGCGCACGTCGCCTATAGTAGACGCTAGAGCGTTAATAATAAGATATTTATAATTATAACCTAAAAAAAAACTAATAAAAAAAATTAAGAACACTACATGTATCAAATAATATATAATAAAGGTTTGCAAAAACAAACGCTGAGGATAGAGAGATAAACAAAACTAAAATTAACATCATAAACACTACTATTATTAAATATACAATATAAAACGTTACAATTATGAAAATATTAAAAAATTAAAATTATAAAAAGATCCATTATAATAACCATTTTTTGGTCATCGTGATCAACTTTATTGGAATCGAATGCGAAACTTTGGAAACGTAACCCTGATTAACATTTTTAGAATCATAGTAAAAAAAAACCACAATTGCCAAGTATTGAGACTTTTTGTTGAACTACGATTTTGAAATTATTGAAATTGGTCGATTTTGAGAGGCCCTCCTTTAAAAAGATTGTACTAACTGTGTTGGCATGTTTTATCAAATGTTGGCGCAATTAATTTAAATGGCGATTATTAAATGGTTAAAATACTTGAAAATTTTGTTATTGAAAAATGTTGAGTAAAAAAATAAAAACCGAAAACTGACAAGGTTTTTGCTAGTGTAATCTCTCTTGCTTATTGGAGTCGCGCTTGCGAACTCGAAACTAAATGAGACTAAAATATACTAGCAAAAACCATGCGTTTTTCGGTTTTTATTTTTTTACTTACCAAGATTTGCAAGTATTATACCATTTTACAATCCTGATTAAATGCGCCAACTTTTGATGAAACTTGCCAGCACACATAAGTACTGTCTTTTATAAAGAGGAGCCTCTCAAAATACACCAATTATAATTTTTTTTAAATTTATAGTTCAACAAAAAGTCCTAATACTCGAAAAAATGGGGCAATTTTGTTAATGTTTTGATTATGGTCCCAAAAATGTTATTCGCGGTTACGGTTCCAAAGTTTAAATAAACAAAATTAATAAAGTAACCAATTTAACCGAAAAGTGGCTATAATTTCACCAAGACCCTATGCTGAACTTAAAAAAAGCTCATAGTTTCCAAACAATGTGATTTTTTTGTCGTTTATTTAAGGACAGTTAACATCATTGACCCCGCTTCGGCTTGACGTCAAGGTCATACCCTATGTATATATATATATATATATATATATATATATATATATATATATATGTATATATATAACCATATATGTGATGAAATTTATAAATAAAAATAATTAAAATGTTTATAAATTAATGAATGAACTTGAAAAGGCAAAAATTAAACGTTGACGAATAATACTATTCACTTAACGTTTAAGAAGTTTCTGAACATTTTGGCATATCTTAGAAAAAATTGATGTATGTGTGTGTGTTCGCAAACACGAATCAACTGATTTGAATAATTAAAAAACATTCGATTCCTACTGATAAGGAGACGTGCTGATTAGTTTTTGGCAAAAGCAGGTCTAGCCGTTTCGGAGATGCGAGGCAAAAAGTTTCAAAAATGGTATTTTACTTTTTGGGATAACGGAGCGTCCGAATTAAGTAATTCAAAAAAACATTTTACTTGTATTGACGAAATGAATAGCTGGTAAAAGTTTTGTGAAGGCAGGTCTAGCGTCTCTGGAGATCCTATAAAAAAAGTAAAAAATAATGCGATTTGGCGGTAAAAAATAGACATTAGACATATGTACATTGTACTCTTTTCGTTTCGTACATCGTAAGTACAAATTTTGTGTACATTTACGTATCAATGTTTACACGTTAGACGACCACGCGGCGCTTACGCGATTTGATATTTCGACTCCAAATCAGGCATGCAGCGCGAATGCTTAAAAAAATGTTCAAAATGTTCAAAAAAAATCAAAGTCAAAGTATACAAAAAATCTTTTTTTGTAGCGGGATTATCTCACAGAGTAGCGTTCCCGATTCACACGCTGCAGATTCTGATTTCGAATTTCCGGCAAGAAATTGAAAAATATTAAGTAGTAAATTTGGAATTATAATAGAATTATGAATTGTAATAAAAAATATGTATGTAAAATAATCATAAAAAATCAAATAAAGAATTGTAATAATTAAAAGAAGGTATAAAAATTAAAAATTCAGAATTAAAATGAATTGAAGTAAAGAGTATAGAAGATAAAATGAGAAGTATAGTAGAAGAAGTAAGAAGTGTTTAGAAGAAGAAATGAGAAGATAGTAAAGAAGAAGAAATGAGAAGATAGTAAAGAAGAAAGAAGAATGAAGAAAAGTTAAGAAGTATAAAAAGATAGGATTATATGAAGAAGGAGATAGTATGAAACTGAAGATAGTATAGGATGTATGATTGTATAGAATAATGTAGATGGCCAAATGCTCAAACAAGCGAGGCCAATAAAATCTATCTATCTATAAATATATCTTAAATCATTTGTTTTGAAATATTTTGAAAATTCTGAACTTTTTTTCAAAGCAATCGTACTGCTTTAACTGCATAAAGACGAAATATCGAAGCGCGTAAGCGCCGCATCGCCGTCATGTGCCGCATCGCCGTCAGGAATGTAAACAAAATTTTACTTATTGTTAAAATCTCTATAAAATATCTAATTATTTGAAGTGCATATGTCTAATGTTTATTTTTGACCGCCAAATGGCTCATTTTTTTACTTTTTCCTCCATATCTTCGAAGTCGTTGCACCTGCCTTTTCAAAAATTTGAACAGTTCTTCACAAACAGTTAATACAAATAAAATGTTTTTTGAATTATTCAAATCGATCCGTTCTCTTAAAAACTGAGTTACGATTTTTGGCACTTTTTGCCCCGTATCTTCGGAACGGCTAGACCTTCGCCAAAAACTAATCAGCACGTCTTCTTATCAATACGAATCGAATGTTCTTTGAATTATTCAAATCGCTTCATCCGTGTTCCCGAAATCATCGACGAAAATTTGTATCCGCACACACACACACACACATACACATACTAAGGTATGCCAAAATGTTCAAAAACTTCTGAAACGTAAAGATATATAAAAATGTTCATTTTCGATTTTTTTGCGATTACTATAACTCGCCCTACGGAAAGTTAAAAAAATCATTTTTTAAAATTTTCAAAATTTCTCAAAAAGCTATTTTTTTTCAAAGTTTTGCAAAGTTTTTTTAAATATATTAGTTTTTGATAGGGAAGTTCCAGCAATTTGTGTTAAAGCATGATGCCACGCACCACTAGTTTTTAATGGAATTCGTCAATGTCAATATGAATCTAACCTTTCTCAAAGGCTCGCTGATGCTGGCACCAATCATAGGACAACGTCGTTCGCCGTGAATAGCGCACTTCATGGTATGACGCACGCCAGTCTCTTCTATTAGATCGCAGTAAAAGGTTTCCTTCTCCCACATAGCTGGAAGGATTTTCTTGTGGCTCAAACGCTGAACTTCTGGAATCGAAGCCAAGGGAGGCGGTCCAGCAAATATACCTGGAACAAATACGCGATACAAATTCACTTGTACCGGCACATATTAATATTATCAACAAATGAATTGGCCAATACCATTCAAATGTTCTTAGGCACATCATAGATATAACGCTTTATGATTATGAAACGTATCCCCTTAATGAAAGCAAAAGCTTACTTTAACACTGATAAAACTTGTTATATGCAGCGTAGATTTGTCACAAACTAGTTGTGCATGGCATCGTGCTTTAAGGCAAATTGCTAATTTTCAAAAGTTTAAACATGTTTCAAAAAGGTCGAAAAAAATAGATTTTTTAAAGAATTTTCAATTTTTTTTGAAAATTTTTGGTTTTTCAAAATTTTCTTCACAAATTTTGAATATTTTGAAACTCATTCAAATCGGTTTTCCATACTGTCAAAAATGTTTTGAACTATATAAGTGAACTTTGAACAGTATTAATCTTGGTACAAAACCTATAATAATAGAAATAAATATTGTACTTAAATAAATTGTTCGAGCATATAAAAACAATATAGGTCCAAAGACCTACGCAGTCAACGTGTTAATAGAAATCAAATGTTTATTGAACCAATCAAATCGGTTGATCCGTGCTCCCGAAATAGTAGACAAAATGCTGTATCTGCACATAATACATACCTGTACACACATACATACATAATAGATTGTCAAATATCTCCCTTCCGTCTTTTCGTATTATAAACCAAGAGCAAAAAAGCGGAAGGGAGATATTTGACAACCTAATATATCGATTGTTTCTAAGGTATGCCAAAATGTTGAGAAAACTTTGAAACGTAAAGATATACTATGAAACAATGGTTTAACTTGTAAAATATTAATAAAACTTAAATTTAAATCATAATTGAATCCATTTTAATTAAATTTTGTTTACGGATCATCGATAAACAAAACATGCAATTAGCAACATTAGCAAATATACAATATGTACAATAAAGAATATGCATCGATTTTCATTACACAAAAGTAGTGTTGAAGAAACTATAGAAATATATAAATTTAAATTCATAAGTTAGTGTATAAATGGAAGTACTAAATTATGTGCTTTGTGTAGGGTTTATACAAAACCGACATTTCAGAAAATCGGTTTTAACCGGTTTTCGAATTTTATATAGAAAATCAATTTTCGCTCGAATATTTTGTAATAACAAAAAAATTCCCGCAAATTTAGTGCGATTTAAAGCAGAATTTGACTGAATTTATTTATTGTTCAATTTTATGGATAGTAAACAAAATTATTTTAATTTTAATTAGTAGAACAAAAAAATAATAGTTTATCTGGATTAAATAACTTTGAAAATAATCATTCGTTATTATATATTTATATGTTAGGATAGCGGATATATATTTTTATGATAGTGAAAGGGAAGTTTTTGAATAATTAAAAATAATATATTTTTAAATAAAAAACATTTATTATCAATTGAGCTAAACCCCGAGTGTTTTCTATGCCAAGCATGTTTTATTAATTAATTTTTAAAAGTCTAATTATTTTTTTGTTTAATAAAATATGATTTTAAAAAACTGAGAATTATCGATTTGTTACTCAGACGTGTCCTTTGTTTACTCACAAAATTTCAAAAAATAGAAAATACTCTCTCACTTCCGACCAAGCTAGGCTTGTTTTTAAAGCCTGATATATTAATTCGTTAGTTTCTTGTTCTTTTATTTGTGTCTTCTAGGGCTCAAAACTCTTTTTTTTAAGTTTGAATAGAGAAAGTTACTTCTTCAAGAAGTCACACTGATTTAAATTAATATACATATTGGTATAAAAATTTAAATTAATATATAAATTAGACAAAAAGATAACACAAAACCTTTCTGGAAACCATAGTAGACTGATTAGATTTCAAATGCTATCAAACCGATATGATTCCAAGAATCAAAACGCTTGAAACTATCTTTTAAATTTGGCTATATTTGTCATTTTCCATTTATACAGTTAAAACCTGCTAAAAAACCGATTTTCAAATTTCATAATTTTTGCCAAAAAAACGGTTTATAAAACCGGTTTTTGAAAACCGATAAACCCTAGCATTGCGCATATCTACTGATGTAAGACACCATATCTTTATTCACCAATGATGACATATAAGTTATTGTCGAAAGTTAATATTAAGAGCTAAAACTTTCAGATAATTGTTTTTTATCAATTTGGAACCATTTGAGCCCTTGGGAGCAAGGAAATTCGAAAATGTCCATATTAAGCATAGCAAGCAATTAATTCATAACTTCGAATATTTTCACAGTGTTCCTATTATATATGGATTCAAATTAATATCAAATATTTAGCATTCTTTATTTGCATTTATTACGTTGTAAGTATATGCATTATTATTAACTAAAAATGTTCTTATTTCACTAAATATCTATTTACAATTAATTCTTTACAGACTATTTTTGACATAACACGAAAGAAATAATCGCCCCAAATGTTATTAGCTTTAACTTTTCAAGACTAGACAGAATATGATATATGCACTCATAACGTTGTTCTTAAGAAATTCACTATTTTTTACTAGCATCAGCCTCGAATACTGCAACCGGTTTCACGTATCTGTACTTATAGCATACAATGTGTATTCACTAATAAACAAATATATAGGACCGAATAATACGTACCTATCAATTCGTCGTTCATGAGTGTCATAATGAGAAAATACAAATATTTATTACGTTTGTCACGAAATCTTTTCGTGTTGTATTCAGGCCGGAATAACTTTGCTACCCAGAGCTGGACGAACTCTCGATCATCTGGTTTGCTTAATGTGGGTGCCATATGCCGAAGAACGGAGCTACAGATAATAATATTTAAAGCAATCAAAAATATAGTTAGTTATTAAAATATATTTATTCAAATTGTACAAAATAAACTAATACAAATAACAAGTACGAACGCTACGTAGAATCATTTACGTATTTCTTTGTATGATAGTATAATACCAATCTATTATTCATCAAAATTACAAAATTAAATGACAATAGTCAAAAATAGTAAAATAAATTGGCACCCATAATATTGAAACTCCTCATCCACTTTATCAACTGGTATGTATGTCGGTCCACGTATCCATTGTCGCGGTATTTTTTGTAAATAAGTCATTTTTCATATTTTTATGGATTTGTAAAAACTTGAAATTTAATTAAATATATTCAGTAGTAATTCAATTGTTTATTTGTTCGCGAACATGATGGGTACCGAAACAAAATATTTATGCTGGTAGCGCTTTGCATGTTTTCTTATACCAGTACCATTGACATTATACTACATCAAAGATGAGCAACGCTGAAATAAATACTTCTTTAAATTTTGTATTTTTACTGCATTAACATTGTTCCCATGCCAAGTCAATGAATGCTTTTGACTTCATTTTAGTTCAGATTTTTGAGTTTATGAAAAAGCTTAAATTTTTATTTAAAAAAATAAAAAAAAAACAATTTATTTTTATCATGCGTTGTACAACCGTAACAATTTATTTTGATTTTGTTCTTTATTTTAATTTTTTCAAAGCGGAATTGAAAACTATGTACAACTCTAAATTTTCACTCTCCTGTTGCATAATTAGTTGTCCAATCATTTTTTATATAGTTCGATAATCGATCAATTATCGTCTTTTTGAAAACGTTTTTAATTGAAATTTTATCAAGATTTTTCTGAGCATATAGAAATGCTAAAATTTATCCGTTCTATCTGCTGTTGTTTAAAACAATTCTTAGACGCACTAATTCAATATAGTTATCTGCGTGAAATTATCGATGGATTTTCGCATAAATCATTGATTTTCAGATTGCAGGCTTATCCTATTTTACAAATATTTCCCAATGTGCATAAGGAGTACGTAGCTTTTAAATGTTTTGTAGAAGGAGAAATCTAAGCAAAAAATGTAGATTTTAATATTAAAATCTGAAAAGAACTGTTTTTGAGAGTAAACTGGATTTTTTTTCAGAGTTATTGAAATCTCACTCGATTCGCTAAGCACAGCAAATCGAGAGAGATTTATAACATAAATGTTATAAGAAAATGTTAGTGTTTTAGCGTTGCAGTGGGTAAATTATCAATGTAATTTGTTCTATCTGCCTATTTAATTTATACCACATATTTCTACGTTCAGAATTAGTTATTTTTTATACTAATAATTTTCTAGAAATATTTCTTGTGGCTAAACGTTTGCGGGTTCAACTAGTATATATATAAATTAGTATAAAATTTTAAAATTAAATTGGTCTGTGAGTTAAAAAGGTTGCTCGCCCTTGTACTACATGGACTGCTAGTCGAGCGTAAAATAAGTATCAAAAGATAGAAGGGGACTGTGACGTCACTTAATAAACGAGCGTTGCCGACAATCGCAGACACTCCCGATTGATTAAATGTCATATGCCATGTCCTTATTAACCTAAAATTAAATCTGGTGTTTGAAATTGTTAAATTGTTGTAAAGAAAATAATCAGTGCATGTAGTTACTCTTGTTCCTGAAACACTACCAAATGATTAAACGTCATATGCACAGATCTTATAATATATAAGCCTATTTAAACAAGTGAATTTTATTTAATGTGCATTTATGTCATAGGGGCAATATTATCAATATCAAAATTTTTAAGAAATTATTGGTCCACGCAATTGCCATTATATTATTGAAATAAAACAAGAACAAATAATATTTGAATTAAATTAACTATTAAGATATACAATACATTATAATATAAAATAGTTACTATTGTTCATACAAATTGAGTGTATAATGCCAGTGTATGCCACTATATGCCACTATATGACATATGGCATTTAATCAATCGGGAGTTTTCCACGATTGTCGGCAACGCTCGTTCACGGAGTGACGTCATAGTCTGTCAGTTTTGACACTTTATAAAATGAAAAACATATGAAGACTAGCAGTCCATGTAGTGTAAGGTCTAAACTGATACACATAGTTACCACCAAGTTTGAAAATATTCAGATAGTTATAGTCATTGTATGAAAGCGTTTTTCATAATTAGCAATAAAATTTATACCACTGCGTAATTTAAGTCTTTAGCTGTGGTCTATAACTCCTAAAGCAATAAAAATGCATTTAGTTTAACACCATCAAGTTTTGTTTTACATCCGCCCAGATCACTATTATATTATATTGGTACCATCTGATAGTATAAATATGTGTACCATCTTATATTTTCTCAAATAATATAAGTAGTAGCTAGAAAATCGTAAATGTGTATTTTTTTCTTTTGTTTGTAAAATGCACAGATGGTAAATTGATTTACCAGCCTTCCCCTACTATTTTTAATTATTTTATTCATGATTTTTGTCTTGACACAATAACATAATTAACTTCCCGAAGGAGAAGTTTATGTTTTCATAAAAAAATCCGATTCACTAATTTTATGTTTTCTCGACGTTTCAAGCCATTCTGAATCGAATGAGACCAAATTTGGAAAAAGTATGTGTGTGTGTGTGTATGTGAACAATTTTTTTGCCGTATTCATTGGACATATGTACATCATATTATCAGATATTTTAGATATTTTAATAATATGCACACATTTTGTGTAATTTTTCTTTGGGTTCCGTACCAAGATTTTTAATTTTAAATTTCACGTACGTGGTTCAAATAAATGTCCTCGACTTTTTCGACAGTATGGAATAACTGAATTGAATAATTTAAAAATCATTTGGTTCGTGTTGGTAAGGAAACGTGCTGATTAGTTTTTGGCCTATGCAGGTCAAGGCGTTTCGAAGATACGGGGCAAAAAGAACCAAAAATTGTAGTTCAGTTTTTGAGAGAACGGAGCGTCTGATTTGAATAATTCAAAAAACATTTTATTTGTATTGATTAAACGAAGAACTGTTAAATTTTTTGGAAAGGCAGGTCTAACGGTTATGGACTCTCAATATTAACTTCCTGTAGGGTAAGTTATTGTAATAGGCTGAAAATCAAAATTGAAAATTTTTACATTTCTCGACGTTTTGAAGGTTTCTGAACATTTTGGCATACCTCGTCAGAAAAAATGGATGTGTGTGTATGTATGTATGCATACAATTTTTCGGTCACGCTTTCGGGCGCACGGATCAACTGATTTAAATGGTTCAAAAAACATTCGATTCAGGTATGGAGCGCAGGTATGGAACGCAAAGGGTGTAAAAATGGTCTTGCAGTTTTTGGGAAAACACATCGTCCGATTAGATTAATTTAAAAAACCTTTTGCTTGTGTAGACGGTGTGCAAAAAATGGTTTTACAAAAAAATTTGTTTGAGAATTTTCAAGAAAAAAATTCAAAATTTTCAAAAAAAATTTTAATTTTTAGAAAACTCAAATTTTTGAAATTTTTCTAATCTATTTGAAATTATTTAAAACAATTATTGATTATTTTCATTGTTATATTTGCTTTCACTCATTTCAGCATATGTTTTGGAATAAATAAATTAGCAATCGTTTTTTATTAACCCTTTCGACTCGGATGCCGCCGCTCCGGCGGCATAGTCATTTTACCGTTGTGCTCGGATGCCGCCGCTCCGGCGGCATGATATGTTTTACCGTTAAGCTCGGATGCCGCCGCTCCGGCGGCAAATCGTGTCGGCGATGACCCGTCGCAAACTAAACTTACATTTAATTTTTTTTTATTTTTTAAAAATTAATTTACTATTACATTCATTTATTGATTGATTTATTAATTTAATAAATAAATATATAACAAAATTAATTTATTAGCTCATGATCCCCATAATTCTAATAAAGATCTGTGAAGAAATGATTTTTTAAACAATATAGCATGGTTTTGAGTGCATTTTTTTTTAATTTTCAAAATTTTCTATTTTATTATCATAATAACTATATTTAAAAGCAATATAACCACATTTTGAAAAAATCCGATACAAAAAAAAATTCCGAGTTGAGAGATAAGTATAGCACTATAATATTCCGAGCGCAGCGTACCGACTGGCAGTCCGACTCCCGAGTCGAAAGTGTTAAATTTTGAAACTTGTTTGACAATTTATCCGAAAAGGTTTGGCATACTTGATTTTTCGAAGTCAGTTGTTTTAATGACGTACTGGGCATTTTTGTTTTGATTTTTTTCATGTTTGAATCTTAAATTATAGTAGTATGCTGCAAGCACAAAAACAAATGTGCTATGAAAATTTTCGTATAAAATTCTTCCAAATTTTATTTTTCAAAATTTAGAGTTATAAATACCGAGAAACAAAGTGAAGGTAAGTAAAATTCATTATAAGAATATTGTATTTTCACATAATGTATTTTCAAATTTAATTTTGATTTTTTATTTTTTTGTAGTTTTCAATTTTATGCCAATGACAAATGTCATTTATCTCCCACAAAGATTTTTTCTTATTTGAAGATACTTTAATTTAAATATACTACATCGTACTGTCATCTAATTTGACTTGACTTAATTCAGTTAAAATATTTAGTGGATTTATTTTCTTGATTACAACTTGACATTAATATTTTTAGATTTGTCTGTGTGTATTTGCTAATTTATCCGATATTGGTTTTCTAATGTAACTTTTTTTTACATTGTTTAATTTTCAATCATCAATTATATTAAGAAAATATTTATTAAAATTAATTTAAAATAATGAAATTTCGTATTAATTCAAATTTTTAGTTAATATGTTGTTGTTGATATTTAAATATTTAGAATGATAATTATATATAATAATATTTAAAATAGCATTTCCATACGCTACTAGTTTTATTAATATTATTTCCGTAGTTCAGCACCATGGGGTCCAGGAGGCATACGAGAAAGGAGGCAAAATTATGGAGGAAAAGTTCGTCTACCCTATCTGAAGTACTGACTCGCGAGGCGAAGAAGGTAATTAAAAAATAAAATTAATATATACTAATATACAAAGATATATCAATACAATTAAAATAACATCATAAAAACGAATACATGAATGCAGTATGATAGGCATTCACAAAGACTTCGTAATTTAAAATGAAATCAATGAAGAATTATATTGAAAAATAAATATAGATTTCAGATACCACTTTCATAGATTTTTACTGGAAATTGAGATAGCAAAATATTTTTAGTATAAATAGCCCTTATCTAAAAGCATTAGAGAGTAATAAGTAATATTGAAAATAAATCACAAAAAATCGGATAATTGTTTAGGTTGTCATCTATAAACGTTGTTATAAGTCAAAATATATTACAACTCATAATACCCATAAGTTCTGACTTTGTTCAAATAACTACATATATATATATATATATATATATAATTATTATTATTATTTTCGCAGAAACGTGCCGCGAAAAATTCTGGAATTCATAGGAAGTATCGACTATCCCCCGAATTAGCCAAATTAATAGGTAGTAATGAACCCGAAACACGCTACAACGTAGTTAAGCTAATCTGGAAACAAATTAAGGAAAGAAATCTCCAAGATCCCGAAAATCCTGCTTATATTGATTGTGATGAAGAGTTTGAAGAAGTGACCGGGTTGGTGCGTCTGAAAGGTTTTACAATTATAAAGTACCTCAACCACCACTTTTTAGAATAGATCATCATATGTTCAGTCTTATTACAACTAGTGTTAGAACGAAATATCGAGTACTGAGTGAATATATACACTATGCTGTCAATGAATACCTCTCACCGACCTATTACATATGCAACCAAATCCAATAGTCTCCATGGATGGTTATACTGTTCGAAGAAGCATCAAAAACCGATCTCAAATCAAAAACCGAACTATGCTGTCAATAGTGAGAACTTTGGCTATTGATAGATATTCGTCGATAATGATAATTTCCTTCGACAGTACTTAAAAAGTATCGAAAATATAATCGATGAATACCTCTCACCGACTTATTACATATGCAACCAAATCCAATAGTCTCCACGGATGGTCATACTGTTCGAAGAAGCATCAAAAACCGATCTCGAATCAAAAACCGAACTATGATGTCAATAGTGAGAACTTTTGCTATTGATAGACATTTGTTGATATTTATAATTTTCTTCGATAGTACTCACAAAGTATCTAAAATATAATCGATGACTATCTCTCACAGACTTATTACATATGCAACCAAATCCAATAGTCTCCATGGATATTCATACTGTTCGAAGAAGCGTCAAAAACCGATCTCGAAGGGTCATCAGACTCAAAATGTATTGCTCAAAAACCCCAAATGAATAGGACCACACTCATAAATAAAGATGTACCAAATGTACATGTACTATATGTTTTATTGTACCCCAATATTTTATAAAAGTATATTGAATACAATTGCAATACTATATTGTGTTACATAAAAAAGAAACGAAGTATAATTATTTAAAAAAATAATAACTCAACAATTTCAATACATGAAAATTTTACGTAAAAATTCGAAATGTAATTGTTTCAAATAATAATACTTAACAATTTCAATACATGACAATTTTACGTAAACAAGAATCTTAATATAATCACTCCAATAATAATACTCAATGATTACAGCATTGTAGTGATAATTATATTTCTATTTTTATTCATGTAAAATAATTTTGTATTGAAATTGTTGAGTATTATAATGAAAAAATATGGGTTTGAGTTTCTCAGAACCATTTAAACTTTAAATCCGAAAATTACTATAATATTATTTTACTTAACAAATATTGCAATTTGAAAGTATAGTATCAGACCATATTGTTCCAACTAAAAATACTTTCAACTATTATATAACTTGTCATTTCTTTCTGAAAAAGTATCGAATATGAAATTAGTATTGAAAAATTACTGTTTTAAACATTTTAAAATATTGAAAATGATTCTGATTTAACACACCATATACAAATAATATAATTAATTTTAAGATTGTAATATGATTCTTAATGAGTTTTTGGTCTTTCTTCCACATCCGTTTGATTTTTATGAAAAGTACTCAAAATTCGATATTGAGTAGCATCGATACTTATGCCACGATATTATTTTGGCATCGATATTTGACTGATGTACTTGTATACAAAGTAAAAAAAAATAAATAAAAAATAAACAATATTTTGCTGCGATTTTTTTTTAGTACTCAGTATCAATATTTTGCCGTGATACTTCTAACACTAATGACAACACACTAATAATAACTTAGAATCTTTTGTGCCCATTATTATGCTCATTAAAAAAATTGATCACCTTTTTTATTTATGATTTTTATTATGTTATCAATATTATATTGATATTGTTAATTAATTTTAACTTAACGAAAAAATTATGTGTGTTTGCGTATATGTGTGTGTGCGCCGATTTTGAAAATTCAAAAATTGAAAAAATCAAAAATAGAGGGAATAGTGTTATAGACCACGCACGAATCGAATCTTTTTTCAATTATTAAATACGAAAAATTAACCAACATATGAAAGTTACATGGTGACCATATTTTTTCACATATTAACCGTATGCTGTTTTATTACAATATTTATAAAAATTAGAGCTTTTATTTTTATAACACAATTTGGTAACTTTTTCTAAATCCTGATGTTGACATTTACAGATCTGAAATGTTGAGTTTCGAGTGACACGATAATTTTTGTTAGCAATTTGATTGTATACAAATTAGCGAGATATAATGAAATTTAGTACATACCATACTCTGTCATTTTGTATTCCAAGGCATACGACACAAATCAGTTAATCTGTCTCTCAAACCGCTCGACCTGACTAATCAAATTAAATGTTTTCTGAATTATTCAAATCGGATGTTCCGTTCTCTCAAAAATTGGATTCCCTGTCATTTGGAATCGAATATTTTTTGAATTATTCAAATCGGTTGGTCTGTGCGCCCGAAATCGTAGACGAAAAATTGTATCCACACATACGCACGCACGCACACACACACACACACATACATACATCCATTTTTCTAAGGTATGCAAAATGTTGGCATAAAGATGTGCAAAAAATTTCATTTTCGATTACAATAAAAATATCAAGATTTATCCACAGTAAGATATTCTAATGAATAACAAGTAAATAAATTGATTAGGACAACTACAAAAATTGTAGGTGTATTTAAAACTGATTTTTCGCTTTGTAACCTCAGTATATCGAGCAGGACTTATTAATAGATGACTTTCTCCGACATAAGTCAAGCTGTTCGAATGAATTATCAGAATCTCAAAAATATCTACGAACTGCACTCGGCAACGTGCATTCGGCAGAAAGTTAATTCTTAAATAATATTTAATATTTAACAAAATGATTATCAGCTAATTGAAGTTTTGCAATCAGTTTTTGAATAGATTCTGAGGCAAGAAAATTTTTAAAAACTATCAATAAGTACCGGTACATAATAAATTCATTTTTCTTGATTTCAAAGTGACTGAATGACTTACGCTAATGAGGATTTTTTTAATTACTATTAATTTAACAAAACTATTGGGTGTTTTATGAGCTGTTTCGAACGCTGTTTAATTCTAATAATAAGTTTAAGATGCTATGAGCAGGCAAATTCATGGATTGCCTAATTAACGGATATAGTTTGTATTATTAAATCTACCAAAAAGTTCTGATCGTTTGTGGAATAAAACTAAATACATTATTTTCACAAATAAACTTTATTGAATAATGTAATTGCCTTTATCATTAATGATTTTTGAAATATGTTTCATTTTAGATACAAAAAATTTAATCAGTGCTTGTTTGACAAAAACAAGAGATAATCAGAAGTTGCACTGATGGAATGAAATCCACTTTTCATCCCTTCTTATAATCTGGTTAAAAAAACTGGATTTTGTTCAGAACAAGCAAATATGTGCAAATGACAACTCGAACATTCAAATATTTCCGACTTTTTCACGTGGCACGCATCTTGAATACTTCTACACAAATTTTCCTAATATAATCGGAAGTGATTTGTAGAGTTGAATTAAGCCTTTCTGCAATTCTGAATGTTCTCAGAAAAGGATTCTGCCGATAAGCAGTAATCTTGAAACGTTACCTTAACAACATCGTCGTCGGTCAATTTCCGGAACGGAATGGTAGGAATCACCTGTTTCCAATTTTTCGTACCATTTTTCGCTTATTCTATCAGAAACTGTACCTTCCAAACACTTTTAATAAATTTCTTCGTGCTTCTGTATCATTTCTTCCTAGTTAAAATTCGTATAAAATGCAGTGGAGTAAATGAACTTTGTTAGTTGCTACGGTTACACTATCGTTTCACACTTAAAACTAATGGAAATCAACTTTAGTATAGTTTATTTTTTACGTCAATATGTATACATTAAGCGATAAAAAAAGAGCCGACCATGCAATACCTGACTATGCAATAAACGTGGCGAAAATGATGTTATAATTTCGGATAGAACTTTCCGGTGGACCTAATATTTTTGAACGCAATGTGATATTGCACGAGAAGAAATTTTCACTTGAAATTATGTTTGAGATCTATAAACCCAAGTGGAAATTCGACATCATGCTGCCTGATGTCGAGCATGGTCGACATTCCAAGGTCGGGATCGAACTCGGGATAAGTTCGGGCTAGCTTCACGTCCTTACCAATTACGCCACCGTTAAAATGGCGACTTTCAGAGCTATAAAATTCTTGGCTAGAATAAGATTCACACATAAAAAAATTCATAATGCAATATTGTAAATATGCGTAAAGTATGATATGCCAAAAAACGTTCATAAATGCAATAAAAAATCATACACTGAAAAAAGAATCCGCATCAATATTTATCTGAATTTGTTTTTTTTGTTTAACGACTATTGATTTCACGACGCAAATTAAAATTTACCCAACTTAATAAATATTATAATATTAATTATTATATTAAATTTTTAATTACAATTATTATACATGATCCTATAAAATTAACTATTAGAACAAAACAAAATTAAATTAAATAAATACATAAATAATAAATACTAAAAATAAATAAATAAATAAATATATAAATAAATAAATACTTATATAAATAAACATTTATAAACAATCGTTCTTATTCCAAACTCACGCTTTCGTAACGAGTTGCTGAATGTGAATTTTACATCAATAAAATAAATTATTTCAATGACAAACGTTTAAATCTATTGATTTTTAACTACTTTCAATAAATAGTCTGATCTCAACATAGGCATTATAAAAATAATTTTTCACGTTTTTAAGATTAATGATAGTAACCCAAATAATTATTTTTATAGCAATGAAAATATATTCTGTTGAAAATAGTTTTAATTTAGTTTGATTTTAGGCATATATATATATATATATATATATATATATATATATATATATATATATATATGGCAGTATATAACGTACATTCAATCATATATACCTTCACATAAGCATATAAAATAAATAAATAATTCATAATTCATATAATAATATATATATATATATATATATATATATATATATAATTGAAAATAATAATATAAAACAAAAACTTCATATTAGAAACTTACTGAACATGAAGTGTTGATGAATCTTCGTGTCTTTCAATTTATATTTAATATTCGTTGGTTTTGAAGATCATGTTTATCCAATGTGTGTATTCATTAGTTCTGCCAAAAATTTATATATTCAGTCATTTTCTTGCAAAACAGTTTGCATTTTAAATGACGGTCCACTAGTTAACAAAAAAAAATATCAATAAATATTTTTTAAAAAAAATTAATTTTAAAATTTAAAATGATAATTGTACGACAATGCTATTAGATAAGTTTCATAGCAATAATTTCACCCCATATCTTTATTCAATAACTTCAATAAATTGGAAAGAAAATAATAATTTGATATTAAATTCTTCTCGATATTTTCAATAAATGTAGTTTGAATTAAAAAAATAGTAAAAATTGGTAAAATTCAGTACGAAAGTATTGTGCTTGTTGTTTATATACTATATACATATTGTAACTTAAAACCACATGCTATAATAATAAGTTACAATTCTCGAATATTATTTTAACATTAGGACTATACATGTATATTCAAGAGAAGCATTGGATTTAGTGACATTTCTTATTGTAGGTGTTTATCTGTGATAAATATCAACAAAAATATAATACAGCGTCACCTCATAGTAAATATAACTATATAAATTTAAAATTGTTAACATATTCGATTTTATTCTCTTCAGAAGATCTACAATAAAAAATTGCGTTTTGTTACGGGAAGATTTACACTGGTATATTACAATGTAAACGGAAATTAATGGATTTTCTTCAAACACAAGTTTCTTGGAAAACAAATTACCTAATAAGTTATTGGACGTTTTTATTGAAATAGAAAATAACTATTGATAGATCCTGTTAATCCTATTGGACATTCCGATTTTATTTCTATTAATTATATAGTTTAAACGTTAAATACGTTATTAGTTTCTGAACCACTTCAACATCTTGTGTCATAACTATTTAGTATTAGTAAATACTTATTAGAGAAAAATTACTTAACTTATATTTTTATTAGTCGAGACCAAATGTTATTTCCGTATAACAACCAATGCGTCAAAATAAAATATAAATTTATTTAAAATAATACAGTTTCGAGAAAAGAATGTGTCTCAATAATCAACTATATATATGTATATATATATATATATATATATATATATATATATATATATATATGTGAATTTATGCGCAATAATATAATAACGCTAAATAATCACTTCCTTAATTTATGGTTTCCTAAAACCACATTTACATACTTTAACTGCTCATATAGGAATTTTTAATAAGAAATTTTTATACTAAAACAATTCAGTTGATTCTATACTTACTCTGTGGTTTTCTCACCAAAAATTAATAATTTTTGGTTTAAAACGTTAGTTTATTTCTTAAATGATTTGTTCATTGTTGTTTTTCCTGGTTAGTATACATATTTTAATTTCTTACAAGTTGGTGTTAGTATATTATTATACTTTGTATACTTTTTAGACGAATGACTGAGAAGACAAATTTTGTTCTCAAAAATTAACAATTTCAGATAAATCTATATTTTATTTCGACGCGGTGGTTGTTAAATAAATAAATAAATAAATAATGTTTCAACGTCAAACAAAAAACCTCATATATATGTATTTTTGTTAGGGGGTCTTTAATATGATTTTATTGAATTTCTTTGCTCTCAGGGGTTCAAATGCTTCCAAATTGATAAACAATTCTTTGAAAGTTTTCTATCTCAATATTAACTTTAAGATAGTCCGCACTCCAACCAAATTTCTTACGGAAATAACATGGGTAAAATTTCATTTGTTTTTTAATTATCATTTAGCGGCAAGTGAATCAAAATTTTGAGAATAATATTGTATTTGCTTATTTCGATCACAAATAAAAAATACAACAAAAATTCGATATATTTTATAAAGTAAGTATTAAATAAAGTATAGGCCTCTAATATTTTACCACGGTCAGTTTGGGCATCAAATCTACCATTGTGCCAAGTTTCATCAAAATCTGAGACGAGCAACGCGCGGGTTCTCCTTATTAGAAAGATAAACCAAGAAGTTTTGGTTGGAGTGCGACTATCTTAAAGTTAATATTAAAAGCTGAAACTTTCAGATTTTTTTTTATCAATTTGGAAGCGTTTGAGGACCTGGGACGAAAAAAATCAAAAATATCCATATTAAGGACCACCTGGGTAAATACTATGCAATATTTAAATACTGCATATCACAGTAGTGATTTCATTCCCTCCCATTCCCTATATATTACAAATCTTCTCCCATCAGTGACTATTACTCACCAAACAAATATTCTTTATCCTGTGATTTAGATCTTGTGTGATGATTTCACAAATGCGCACCGTTTTTATGGCAATATCTCAAATGCCTTGTATACTTATAAAAAACGGCTGAAATTTAAAAACTATACAAACTATACAAATTAATCTAGATTCACGTGAATCGCAAGTATCTCGCCTGCACCAGTTTGTTAATGTCATTAAATGTTGTTATCATGGCAGGACTGCTTCCGTCTTCTGGGAGCATTGTGCAGTCGGGATGAGCTTGAACACAATCCTCGCCATCCTGGCCATCCTTGGCGGCCTTCATGTATTTGAAAAAGCGGAGAATCTCAGTATTGTTCGTCGTCGGTTTCCTTAGCTCGTTTAGTTCCCTTCAAATATAATAAGAGATTAATACTTATTTATATGACAAATATATCCAAACCTCTCAACCAAATATATAATTTAATACTATTGTATTATACATAATATAATAATTTAATAACAATAGTAATAATACTATTGTATTATACATAATATAAGATCTAATACTTATTGTATTCATCATTTTGTTGCTTAAAACGAGACTAATTTTTCCTTCTGAAACAATCATTGTGTTGTGTATCTATTAATGGATCAGCTACGGATCTTCTTACATGCAAAACAGACCTCTATTGATAAAATAATTTTGATATTTGCATGTATTATTTTCTCTAATAAAGTTATTTTTACGGCTAAGATGACTTTTTTGGTGTTGAAGACTTAAAATTTAAATGATTTATATCCATATGTCGTTTACTATCGATCATATTACAAATAGATTTAATCCGTCCCAATCTAACTATTCC